TGGACAGACCCCGGTGGGGGGCCTGGATGCGCTGTCAGGAAGAGGGTTTGGCCGCACGCCCCCTGGGGCCGAGACCAGCCCAACGCAGAGGGCATGTACAGCAGAGCGGGCTGAGGGCCTCTCACTCCCGGCCCTGGGGCTCTCTGTCCCACCATGGAGGGCTGGTTGGCACTTCTGTTGCAGCCACCGCAGTGACACCAGGCCCTGTGTGGGGCACGGAAGGAGAGAGCAGAGCAGAAGCGTGGCTGGGTAGCTGTTCGTCTCAGAGGAGGGCCAGCGCACGGGCGGGCAAGCCACGTGGCAGGTGCTGGCTGCCAGCAGCAGCCCTGGAGGATAGCTGGCCACAGCTGGGGTCCTCACGCCCCGGCTCCGTGGCTGGGACCCTCGTCCCTGTGCCAGCCAGGGGCTCCCAGCCCTCAGCGCTCGGCATCGCTCTCCGTCCTAAACCTTTGGAGTCAGACAGGCCTGAATTCAAGTCCCGACTCCCCCATCTGCAAGCGGTGTGATCGTGGACCAGTCACTGCTCCTCCCTGAGTTCCCGTTTCCTAATCCGTGGAATGGGGAAGTGGAAGTACCTAGATGCCATGACACAGGCGAGGCCAGCTTTTCTGTCACAGCAAGTGGCTGTTACTACTACGGTTGTTTCCTCCAACGCATCTGGACTTCCCAGTCTAGCCCCAGTCCCTGGCAGTGCTCGGCCCCATGGCAGCCAGGGCCAGCAGCTGGGCTAATTACTGTCCATCTTAACAAGGCCAATAACACAGTGTCATCTGCTGCAGTAACTCCGTATAAATAGGAAAGGAGCCGAGATGTCCCAGCTGTGCCGTCCCAACCCAGACGGAAGCTCCCAGCAGTGGCCTGTCTGAGGTGGGTGGCCACCACGTGGTCGGCATCTGGGCGCCATCCAGGGTTATGGCAAACCCAGCCAATGCGTCCCTCCCATGGGCTGCTCCAAGTGGGGCCTCGCCATGGAGCCAGGCTCAGGGTCAGCTTAGCTTCTTGGGCATCTCAATGGTCCAGGCCCTGGGCCAGGAGACTCCTCACGACCACCGTCATGACCCTCAATCACAGTCCAGGAAACTGAGGCCCTGGGAGGAGGAACAGTTTGCCTGAGGCCACCCAGCTGGTAAATGGCGGAGCCAGGGTGCCAAGCCTCCTGGCTCCAAGCCCCACACTCGCCCCCTCTCACCACAGCTGCCTGTCACGTGGCAGAGTTGGCAGGGCCCCCAGGCCTGGGTGGGCCCGCCGAGGATGGGACCTGGACAGATGTGCCGTGACGGGTTCCAGGGAGGCCGAGGGAGGAGGTGGAAGATGTATCAAGGGACGGCGAGCCTTTTGGAGAGCGTCGATCCCAAAGGAGAAAGCAGACAGGGAGAGTCGTAGCCCGGATGCTCCCGGGTCCGTTCATCTTGCCTCACCAGCTGCCAGGCACCAGAGAGGACTGGCCGGGGCAATAGAAGGGCCAACAATACGGCAGCCTGGATGGACCTGTGTTCAGATCCCGCCTCTGTCATCTCCCAGCCACGTGGCCTCAAATAAGCGATGCGACTCTCTCGGCTTCAGTTCCTTCTCTGAAAAGTAGGGATAACACCTCCTTGATAGCAGTGGTGTTGTTATGAGTCAATAACCTGGGCAAAGCTCTTAGCTTAGGACCCAGCACATAGTAGGTGCTCAGTTTTATTATCGTTATCAACACCTGATTCTCAGCTACAAAATGAGAGGAATAATGTACTTCCTAAAGTTATCGTATGGATTCAATAAAATATGCTTTCGTGCATGCTTTTATTCTGTCAGCTAAGGTTCACCAAGCGGCTCCTGCGGGCTCTGTTCCAGCCACTGGGGACTGAGATCGTGGAGAGAGACACACTTCCTACGTGGAGGGACTTTACGTCTGATGGGGAAATCAGACATTAAATGCATGAGTGATACAAATTGGTATATAACTGCCATTGTGGTGAGTTCTGTGCATGCGGCTTAGCACAGCATTGGCACAGTACGAGTGGGAGGTGGCTATTTTTATGATATCATTACAGTTTCGGCTTTTAAACATTTCCAGTTATGGGCTAATAATACCGAAGCAGTTTCCCTGGATTTGTGCAGTATTAACTGTGGAAAGATTTGCTGCTTTTGGAGTTTTTATTGTGGGAGTGAAGGGCTGTTTATAGGGCAGTTCTGCCCTATAAACAGGAGCCGCTGAGGGTCAAGGTCTCCCTGGGTCCCTGGGACGTCCTCTCTGGTCCTAGCGAGCAGACAGGTGTCGGAGTCTGCATGTTTTGTGGAGGTAGATGATGAACACACTAAGGCTGGAATCTGCTCTTAGGAAGTAGTGAGCTCCCCGTGCCCCCAGGGTGTAAGCGGGGGGCGAGCGGGGCGGAGGAAATGGTGCGCCAGCCCCTTCGTGGGCGAGCTCCTCCTGACCTCTGTATGCGGAACCAAGGACCTGCGAGGAGCAGACGGGCCAGCACCGGCCCTCGCAGGGCGGCGTGGGGCGAGGCGTCCATGCTGAGAAACGGCTGTTCCCTGAGTGTTTCCGATGGCCAGTGAGTGGGTGGGTGGGAACACGGGCGCGGGAGCCAGGCCGCCCTGGGTTCACATCCTACGCACTCGCTGCGATGCCTCGGGCGGGTTTCTCAGTCACTCCAAGCTTCGGTTTTGTCTCTAACCCTTGTGGGGTCGGTGGGAGGGTCACAGGCGCTAAGGAGGCTAAGCTGCCGCCTCGTCCTTTTCCCTCATCCTGCTCCCGGGCCGAGCATTCAGCCTGCCCCTCAGAGGCAGCTGGGTTCAAATCTGCACCAGGTTCGCATCTGAGACGAAGCTGCCTCTCGCCCCTCGTCCCGTCACCTCACGCCCGGCGCTCGCGGGTCGAAGCCGTGATGGGATGGTCGGGACGGCCACTGCCGGCACCTTGGGGAGGTAACCGCGTTGCATTTTTAAGAGGGGAGAGGGAAAACAAACTCTGGGGAAAGAATAAATCCGTGGGTTTCAACCTACCAAGCTTGGAGCTTCTGATACAGAGGAAATTATTTCTAATTATTGAAATTTTGGAAACACAATGCCACACTAGAAAGAACGGAAGTGGAAGCGGCTCCTTTGAGAAGTGCTAGCATATGTTTCTGTGATTTAATGGCTTCCTGTAACAATGCGTAGCTATTTTAAAAGCAGATGAGTGACTCATGGTATCCAGCAGCGGCCGCAGTCTATTGTGATGGCGGCAGCGAGTTCTCTGGAGAGGCAGGTTTGAGCTCGACCCCCGTCGCCATCCTTTGCCAGCTATGTGACGTGGAGCTACTTACACGTCCCTTCTACACTTCGTCTTCCTCTCTGTAACACGGCTTGTTGCAAGGACAAAGAACGTTAACGAATGTCTAAGTCAGCGCGGTGCTTGTCCATCCATGCAAAACCCCCACAACTTTTGTATTAATCCTTAGTAGTTTCACAGGATACTTTTTAAGCTATAAATTTTCCTCTGATGACCACTTTAGCCTGATCTCATAAATTTTGACATGTAGTGTTCTTATTGTTATTGTCTCGGAATAGACTTTTTCTTTTAAATTTTTTTTTGTTTTTTCTTTGACCTGAAAGTTGCTTGTATGTGTACGCACGTGTGCGTGTTTTGAAATGGTTGGATTGGACTTCTTTCCATGTTGTTAAATCCTAGATGTGATGTAAGGTCAAAGAATGTGGCTAATATGACATTGACTTTTTGAAACTTACTGAGGTTTTCTTTACAGTCTAGTGTATAATCAATTTTTGTAAGCATTTCATAAAGAATTATATTTTCATTTATATAATACCAAGTTTGTTAATTTTGTTACTCAAATACTGTATTTATATATGCACACGTATTCACTTATCTGTGTATATGTGAATGTTTTGTGAATGTTTTGTATGTACACACACATGCACAGACAAATTCTAGAAGAGACATACCAAAGCCTCCCTCTATGGTTATGGCTTTGCTGAATGCCCTTTTCATTTCTGGCAGTTTTGATTTGTATATTTTGACGCAATGTTGCTCTGTATGTAGAAATTTGTTATCAATTGAGCTCAAGTCAACTGTGCTTTTCATTAATATCAATCATTCCTCTTTGCCTTGTTCAATGTTTTTTGCCTTGCATTT